TCGATACATAGGTATCGAAATAAATAACTGACACAAAGATTGAAATTTTTAGCTAATAAGCTTATTTAGTTAGATAGGTTTTTGTATTTTTATATATGTTTCTGTAATATTTCAATTCCATTTCGTAAGTATTTCGTGTATAAAACTTTTAAAATTTTTAAGACAATATTATTAAAAAGTGGTTAACTACGATGTGTATTATTATAAAAATATTTAAAAATATGATGTTTTCACAAATCTGATCGAAAAAAATGAAAAAAACTATAAAAAGTACATTCGACATTTTAAAGTGGGGCACATTCGGCCATATACAGATTGTGCAATATTATTTCCTTAAAATGTTTTTGAGTTTGTGTTTAAAACTAATCCTTTAATATGGCTCGAAATTGCATATATAAGATCAAACGTGCTTGTATTGTCGAAAATGCGATAGAAAATCCCTATTTCTGATGGTGTGTGCGACCTTGAGATGTAAACGTCCGCCGCTAGAAAATAAAGCCCTATAATTCAAACATTGTGTGGCGTATTAAAACCAAATAGAGCCTTTAGAGGTTCAGAATTTCAACCAGACTGATAGCCATGACAATTACCCGGCTATGACTATGGTGCCGAATGTGCCCCATAAAATGCCGAAGCTACCCCGGGATGGGGCACATTCGGCGAATTTGACCTTTTTTACTAAACTGTAAAATTTGTTAACTATTACTATTTTTTTATATCTTTTTGGTACTATTTTTTATAATTAAGTGTCAGAGGACAATAATCAGCTATAAAGTTGTTATATATGTTGAATAAGTACTGAGATATAGGGCTCTAAAAAAACTGCAGAAGGTGCCTCAGTCTCCCCTACTAAATCGCAAACTATATTAAAACAAATTTACAGTATTCACGATACCATATGAAATATTTTTGGTATTCCCTTTCCGCATACGAAGTAGCGAGCACTTTGCTAGTCATAGATAATCTTCACACTTAAAATAATTATAAAATAAATAATAAAAGATATAAAAATATAAAAGAAATATTTAAAAAAGAGAAGATATATTTGAAAAATAAGATATTTATGAAAAATATAAAAGAAAAATATAAAATGAAGAGAAAATAATAAAGAAATATATATAAGAAATATAAAAAATATATTAAAATTTATTGAAAAAGAAGATATTTATGGAAAATATAAAGGAAATATAAAATATATATATATATATATATATATATATAAATCACAGTAAACCATATACAAAAAGAAAAAAACTGAAAAAAGTTCAATAAAATATTTGCCCTATAATATACCGACTTCTGATAATACATCCATAATGAATACTCCAAGTGCAAATAGCATATACGTTTTAGATTCTTTGCGTATACCCGACGCTATTAAACACCTTCCACGAATCGATGGAAACCATCGACTTCTATATGAATTCATTAATAATGACGAAGGAATTTTATTACATCTTAGGGATATTGATGCGGCCCGGCCCCCCCGAAATGAATTTTTTTCACAGTACATTTATGTTTGCAACAGCGAATTTTTTAATTTTGTACTACCGGGCCCCCCCGAAATGAAATCCTGTGTACGTTGCCCGTCCACAACAATGTATTGATTCATAAAAAGATCAAAGCGTTATAAAAGCAAAAAAAGACCTCTATGGAGAAATATGTTTGAACTCATTCCTCACCGGATTAAAAGAACCATTAGGAGCAACAATTAGAGCAATTAGACCCGACTCTTTGCCCTCAGCTTTGTCACTTTGTCTAAAAGAACAAAATATTTTCTATCAAAAAAAGAAACACTTTTGGGCCTAGCTTCAGGAAAACAGATAATCGTCAACAACCCTATAATAATGGATATTTTAAACAACAAAGGTACTCTTACCAAAATCAAAATTCCAATAATTCAGGAGCTAACTTCCGAAATTACAGACCAAATAATTATTATAATAATTACAATAAATATCAAAATTCAGATTCAAACTCTACAATGAGTAGATTTTCACATTCTAGTAGACCTGAACCAACGGATGTCGATTCGGAACACACTAACTTCAGATCTACATCAACTAGGAACACCAATACAACATTCCGCGCACAAAATCCAAAATTCTCTCAGCCGAAAAACAAAGAAATGTACAACATAAACTCTCAAAACGATCATGAAGAAATACAGGATAAAAATGACGATATGATGGATATGATATGCTCCATCAACATTCCAAAGGGTAATGGACAATGTACTTAAAGATCTAGTAGGGAAAATAGCTTAGTCTATCTCGACGATCTCTCCAAGAACACCTTAATAACTTAAAAGAAATATTCCAAAGATTAAATATAAAATACCAGAAACACTCAAAAAACCACTTGACATAATACATATTGATCTTTATTCTATAAACAATTACAATGTTCTTACAATATTATATAAGTTTTCCAAATTTGCAGCTGCATACTCGATTCCAAATAGAACAAGTTTAACCGTAACAAAATCATTACAAACATTCCTCAGACAATACGGAATTCCTAAAAAATTAATTTGTGACCAAGGTTTAGAATTTTCTAGCAACATCTTTAAGGATTTCTGTAGACAATACAATATAGTATTGCACTCGACTTCTTTTCAACAAACAAGTAGCAATGGTCCAGTTGAAAGACTGCATTCTACTATATCGTATAATTATGTCTAAACGAAGAGAACTTAGACTAGAACAAGATCACGAAGAAACATTATGGGAAGCGTTTATTACATACAACAACGCTATTCACTCTGCAACTAATCTTACACCTTACGAACTTTTTCATGGACGAACCTATAAATTTGACAGGGATGTTTAATTCAATAATGAACATGACTACTTACGTAAACTTAACGAGTTTCAGGAAACACTTTACCCTTATATTAAAGAAAAACTGGAAAGAGAAACACAGAATCGACTTGAAAAACTAAATACAGACAGACATGAAACCGAAAATTTTGAAATCGACGACGACATTTATAGAAAAGAATGCAGGAGAAATTAAATGACACCAAGATTTTCAAAACATAAAGTTCAAAATAACAACAGAGTAACAATCATTACAACAAGAAATCAAAAAATACATAAATCTAGATTAAAAACTAAAAATAAAGCGTAATTATATTTCCATTAGTACTGACCCAACTTACAGAAATACTACCTATCAGACCGGACCAAGCGATAGTGCAGGTAAATTTCGGATAAGCAAGAATCATCGAAAATTACAAAAATCTCATTCACATCGTAAATTTAAAGGAATACGAAAGGAATATATTGAAGAAATCAATCATGTGTTAGATATATTCCAAAAACGAGGAACGTTAACCGACTCCGTTAAGATAACTAATCTCAAACTAAAAGAGTTACACAACAAACTAACAACCCTTACTCCTTCCAAAAGAACAAAGAGAGGACTTATTTATAACCGGAAACATGGACGCTCAGGACGCACAAGAACTAAATAAACAAATAAGAAAATTAGAAACAAATAAACAAGCTTATTACAATCATAGCAGCATAATATTCAACGTTATAATACCTGTCCTTTCGGATTTTACCAAAATAATCGTACCACAACCATACATAGCCCACAACGAAAAGAGTGTTCAATACTTTAAAAAAGCCTGTCCCAGGATTTTAAGCACCTTTTATTGTCGCTCCCCGCTGAATAAAGAAGACGTAAACAACTCATCCTGTGTTGGAAACTTGTTGAACCACAAACCCCCCAAATGCGTATTTAACGATGCCGGACCAGTGGAGTCAATAATACCTCTTGAATAGAATTATATACTTTTATTAATATTAAACATGCACTAATAAAATCTGCTTGTAGTAAAAACCCCCATGAAATAAAAGGAACCGCACTCCTGCGAAGTCGTCATCAATGTAATCCCTTACTCGGATAACCATATGGGAACACACCCACATAGCACCTCCAACATACTCCCAAATTGAAGAAGTGGCGACAATAGAAACCTTAAACTTAAAAAAGCTGGAAAAATTTAATGTCGAAAACAAGGAAACTTTCCTAACTCTGGAAAACGAAACGGAAGACACTATGAAATTTACCCACTTGGCCCTATTAATCCTAGCAGTCATGATGATCATTCTGTTCTTCTCAAGGAGAAAAACACAAGCAACACCGAATGTCATCGTTCCGGCCATACCGACCTCCAGTTCTTTATGGCCGTCACTCTATTCTAAGGGGGAGGAGTTCTGACAATAAACTGAAAAGAGGACAGAAGTCCCAACAAATCAATTTTTTTATTAAATCAATGGAAACAAACCCTTAACTCGCGCATTCGGTAATAATAGTTAGCCACTATTTCTCGATTTAAAAATTTATTTTTTACACCAAGAACACACGTGAATACACAACAAAATCCCTACCAGAAGTGGTTTATGTCATCAAGAATTAAAACATTCATATTTCCTTTTATTTTCACTTTACCGTGGTATCAATAAAGTTCTACATATTGTTACGAAAGTAAAGTTTTCTTTTATGCTCCAAATCTATTTCAATATTTATTTATTGGCTATGTTACTCATAGAGAATCAAATACAATGTTAATTGTTAAATTTATGAAAGATGTAGTTAGTGGTAAATTTAGAGATTAGAAATCATTTAAATACTGAACCTATAAGATAACATAGTAGTGTATTTACAGATGAAAAATGAACTTAGATCTTAACTAAAACTATTTTCAACAATAGTCATTAATAAATCTATCCTGCCTTATTAAACTCCAAAATTATTACGTTTTCTTAACAAAGAATAAATATTAAATAATAATTATTGTTATATTAGTTTGTTCGTTACATTAAAAACTTATTTGTTTAATAGTTGTAAGCATAACCATATGTTATCTGCTTTAGCCTTATGTGTCTGACTTAAAAATATCCAGCTTTATTTAATTAACACTATTTTTGACCATTAATGAATGCAATACACTGATATTTATAAGTAAAAATTAATATTGGTATATTAAATTTCCGTTCTGCGTTTACTTGGTTGGTCCTGGTGGAAAAGGATTTATCACAGCTACAGCAGCAGCCTGTTGACTGGCAAGTACAGCAGCTGAAATAAAAAAGTTAATATTTTCCGTTAATAAATCTAATAAATATGTATAAATGTAAAGAATGACATCAAACGTTCAAATAGTTATATTTTTAACCCTACGATCAATAACCGGGTACATATGTATTTTTTATTAAAAATACTGTGAAATTTTCAATATTGAAGGTATTTGGATCAAATTTTGAGGAATCATTCTTGTGGTGTTTTTACTCATAATTGATGAAAAAATTATATATATTCCATAAATATAGTTTTATTTCAATTTTAACATCTATAATAACGAAGCCTTCTAAGAAACATTGGTGAAGGAACCATAGGTCTATCTCGATTTTCGAGTCTCCCACTTTTCAAAAAATAATTTTTGATGATAACATCATTTTGATTCCAAATTCTATTTTTTATTCATCGTTATATTCAGCCTTATTCTGGATATTTGCTAGGGAGATATCTCGCAAGTAAAAAATTTTCGCTTTTACATTCTCGCCTTATTCTGAATGAATAGGGAGACGCAAAAAGTGCTAGATGCGGATTCGAGTTTTCGAAAATGGTGGTTGAAAAAAAGATTCGTGTTGCCATATTGTAATTTAAGCTGCAATGTGCGTTGCCATATTGTAATTTAAGTTGCCATGTGTGTTGCCCCATTGTAATTTAATTGTGTAATATTTATTGATTTTTTTATTAAAAATTTTTAGTTGTTATTGTTATTTAAACTTTATAACAATACAAATGTGAAATATCAATAATCCGCGGTTTAAATGCTTTGTAATTAAAAGAAAATAAATTAAAGTTTTAAAATATGGCAAGTGAAACAGCTGTTCATTGTTTTGATGCAATTTGCTGCAAAAACTACAAGAGATTACAAATAAAAGAACATTTTTATAATGGCAAAAACACAGTTTATTATTTCACTACATAATTGTGTGCCTTTTTAATTCCTATATTTTATCTCCCCTACTGATTTGCTTCTACTCCTTTATTTTCCCTTCAAATCATGCAAACGATAAGTTTGAAATAAAAAATATTTCTTGTAGCTTTATTATTTTTGTTCTTTCATAATTTTTATTTAAGGTTTTCACTGTTAAGCGGCACATCAAGCAAATTTGGTTTTTCCATAGTTTTTAAAATTGTTTTTCTTCTGAGACAGATCCTCACCCAAAATGTCTGTATTTCGCCTCAGAAATGCATCAAAATCGACATAAATATTCCTTATTACCTTTATACATTCCGTGGCGATTTTGGTTAAGCATACATCGTTATCAATAGGATTTCCAATGCCATTTTATTTTTTGTTTTCCAGTTAAAAATTTGCATACAATCATTTATAAGATTCTAAATCGTCATAGAATAAGTATTGTGTAAATAGTTTTCATAAAAATATTTATTACTTATGTTTTTGTAGTCAGAGCGAGTAAATTCACGTGGAATTGACATCCAGAATAAGGCTGATTATCTTTTTTATGTGTATATGGGATTTTTGGTGTCGATAAATTAATTTCTGATTTTTATTTCTGCCTATGACCACCGCCAAAGGGCGTTTCATACATATTTTAACTAATTTGAATCTACACTAATTCAAGAATATCCCTACAAAATTTCAAGTGAAAATCTCAACAACTCTTGAAGATATTGGCGATTTATTGTGTCAACATCAAGTGACGGCAAGAGTGATTCTCAAACTTTAAACGTGTTTTTCTCCAAACTAATTTTGTGATCAAAAATAAGCGATTTTCCAAAAATATTTTTTCAAAGGTCCAATATTCTGTTACTCTTTCCAACACAGTTGGAATTTTCGGATTCCGATGTTCCAGTGAGGAGTTATTATGCCCGCCATCAGCAATAAGGACTTTTCTTTAATCACAAAAACAACAACAATCCAATATGAATACAATTTTGTAAATTATTTTTCTTATTTTTAAATCTTCAAATATATATGTGCAAAGTTACAAAATCTTGAAAATGTAAAATCGAGAATAAGGGGTTCCCTTAAAATGATATTTTTCGATAAAATTGATTATTGTTTTACTCAAACAACTGATTTACAAATTGATATTTCCTCTTATACTGAAAAAATAAATTGGACTTTTCTTTAATCACAAAAACAACAACAAAACAATATGAATACAATTTTGTAAATTATTTTTATTTTAAATCTTCAAATATATATGTGCAAAGTTACAAAATCTTGAAAATGTAAAATCGAGAATGGGGGTTCCCTTAAAATGATATTTTTCGACAAAATTGATTATTGTTTTACTCAAACAACTGATTTGGCATATCAGATGTCATTACAAATTGATATTTCCTCTCATACTGCAAAAATAAACTGGTTTTCTTCCTCCAAAGGCTGATGATTCATCAAACTTAATTTACTAAAACGAAGTAGTTTTTTTTTGTATATATTAACCGCATTTAAGTTGAAAAGTCCAAGATGTGCTATTTCATAAATTCCGTTATGTATTACAAATTTCCCGTGATAATTTCGTGTTTTTACACTTAATCGCTCTAACACATACGTGTTTTGAACAAAAATTATTTAATACTATTCCAAACTTTTCCCTTCAGTAGGCCTATTCTGTAACTTTTTAACAACATTAGACAGTGTTAGTTTTACAACAATTTCATTTGTTTGTTTTGTTGTTTTTACAATAACAAAAGAAAATTAAATAATATCGAATATTGTTAAAAGTTACAGAATAGGCATACAGGTGTGTGCTAATTACGTGACCGTACTGTATATGTGCAATATTGCCAATTGTTTAACATAGCCGGAATTATCAAAGTACATGAAGAAATTTGAATAGTTTTGGATTTTTGATCTGTCGTTGCAAACTTTTCATGATATTGACCTCCATGGTTTATTTTCGAGGAAGCTTTGTCTACCTGATACGAATTTTGAACTTTTGCGAAAACAGAACTTGAAAAACTTCAGCCGAAAGAGAGAAGTACCCAATCTATCTCAAAAATAGTGAGCTAGGTCATCCATGGTTCTTTATGGGCCGAATAGAAATAGGTATAGATCGATGTATTTTTTAGAATGCACACCAAAATCGGATGCGCGTTAAAAGCATATGGTCTTTTCGGAAATTATTCGGTTTTTACGAGTTTTTGGGCACATCAATGCAACTGTAGCACATCATAGACGTCAAATGAAATTTCGCAAAATATACATGGATTGGTAGATAAATGATTTTGAGGATGAAATGCGAATCAAATGAAATTTTCGGTGAAATTCGGACAAAAAAGAAGAATAACCCCAAAATTTTTTTTGAAAAAAAAAAACTAAATATGACGACATTACTTCTTCGAATGATCGTGAAGATTTCGAAGGATCTTCGAAAGATTGGATTAGCTTTTTTTCTAATAAAAGTGTTTATTTTAATCAAAATATGTAATCTTTTTAAATATTTTATAACTTGTGATATTTAAAATATCCACGAATATAGCGAGCCATATTGAATACCATTCATTCTTTTAAAATATACTTAGTTTTTTTTTCACAATTCAAATATTAAAAATAAACAACACCATGTTATTAAACAAATAACTGTCAACATAATGTAAATATATGAAGAAATTGTCTATGAAAATATGCATAATAACTGTGCTATTTAACGTGTCCCCAATGTATATCAGCCGATTTTGTCGGGGTCGGGTTTGTAGGGCTCGCCAATGTGCTATTCCGTAATTGATCCTTGAATGGATGTCTTATCCTTCGTAATTTTGCAGGTTGCGTGTTTTGTCCTTCAATGAATTTGTATTTGCGTTTTTTATCAAGACAGTATCACCACGATACTCAAGCACATAATCTTGGTAACAACGGAGATATTGGATAGAAGTCAACACAACAATGAGTTTCGGATTTCTGACATTTTATTGGTAGAATTTTGGGTTTAAATACTAAATTAGTGCTGTGTTTACAATTTGTTCTCATTATATTTGCTTATACATGTGTATATGGCTGATGGTTGGTTAATTAATAGATGAATGTTGAATAAATGTTGTGTCCCTGAATGAACATAGCTTTGTATTTGAGTGTGCAGTCTAGACTTATTTTTATGAGCCCAGTGTCCTGTAGGTCGAGTCTTCAAGACGTCCTCCAACGCGTAGTAAACCGAAGTTGTTCAGGAATGGCGAAGTCCGACTCTTGTATATGTCTGACTATATACATCAGGGCAGTGTCTAGTTCGATAGTGGTAGGTGCCCTCTGAGTCGGTTGATTCATGACCTTGCGCTTGCATTGCTTGCTGAAACGCAGCATGTAAGCTATAATGCGTTGTAGACGGGCAAATGAGTTGTTGTGTCTTATTTGATTGATAAAGTTAGATGAAGCTACTGAAGTGACAAGAGCCTCATGAGCCTTACGTTTTCTTTCTAGTTCTGTTAGGATTGCTAGTTGTGAGTTGTATGTCGGTGGCCCAACGACTCGTTTACGTGTAGAAACAGAGGGCCACAGGACCAAAGTGTACAATCTTCAAGAGCGGTGGGTGAAATCCCCCCAACATGAAGCCATTGATCTACTTCGGTTAACTCTTGATTGATTGCAAGTCTGTTTGCAACAAATGTATGAAAGGCGGCAGACGATGAGTTTAACCAGGCCAAAATGATTTCTGAATCAGCCCAGTGCCAGACAGGACATGTTAGTTGAAGATCAGAATTGATTCTTGATGCAAGCTGAGCTCCACGTGCTGCCGGGCAGAGTTCCAACCTTGGTATGGTTTGTCGCTTAAGAGGGTCGACCCGAGATTTCGAGCCATGGTGGTCCCATCCTTGAATTTGAATTGGATGCATGCCAATACACCGTATGCGTTGTATAGTTTCATTGACTGGGGCACCTTTCCTTTGCCAATGTGCCGATGTCCCCGAAGGGGTTTTAATGCGTTTAGGTCGTATCTGAAGGTAGCCCATTTAGTGTGTAATGATTCGGGTAATGACTGATCCCAGCCAAGTTTTAATTCCCATAACTCTTGTATAAATACTTTTGCTGTTACTATGACTGGCGA